TTTCGGAAAATTTTCTTTAGAATTTTCTTGAAATTTTTACGAATAAAATTTTTTTTAAATTATACTGTTGTTTTTTTACTTTTTTCATTTTTTAATATTCTCAAAAAATTCACTATCCAAATTATAAAAAAAATTTTCCTATTCAAATTTTTGAAGAATTTTTCAAAACCTTTCCCAAAAATAAAATTGTTTCGGTTTCAAATTTTTTTCTGTTTCATAAAAAAAAAAATTCTGAAAAGTCTTCCAGAAATTTTTTTTTTAATTTGGAGAAAATATTCCGGTTAGATTTTTTTTCCCGAATTATCCCCGAGTTCTCAATTCAATTTCAATCGCGCCAATTAACACTTGGAATAATTCTAAATTATTTGAATTATTGCATCTGGTTATCACTGTCCTGGAAGTAATTTCTTCATAATTGTCGTATTAATTTTTAATCAGTCTATAATTGGAGGGTAGAAGTGGAACGGGGGAATAGTGCTCCTGACCTATTCGCGAAGGAAATAATTGCCGATTTTCGCCACGTCGTTGATCCCATACACCACGGGGGGAAAAAAATCAAGAGGTTGAGTGTCTTCGGTCGGTTTGGCTTGGTGGGTCGAATAACGGTTGAACACGCTGTGTTATTCAACTTAGCCATCTTTCTGTCTCTCTTCAAGGCTCAGAAAAAGAATCAGAAGGTATCACAGAATCGGAAGGTGATGGGGGAAAAAAAACGGGATTGATAATTAACGCTTGACCCATTTGCCGGTCACCAACTGAAGTCCAGTAATTAATAGTAGTAGTTAATTAGTAAGTAGTAATTGATTAAAACTTCGGAGTAATTTACCATTAAATATTTTGGTTTTTATTAAAAATTTAAACAATTTGGAGAATATTCTCTTGGAATTAACGAATAAATAGAATTTCGTAGAATTCCCCGGGAACCTCCTGAATGTCCCGCCTAAAAATCAAACCGTCCATGAAAATTCAATTCCATCCTAACGGTGCATCTGCACCTAAAATGACACCGAGAGAAAAAAAATTAATTACCGTATCGTTATCACCTAGACCTAGACCTAGCGAGTTACAATTGTTCCGGTTCAATGACTCGACAATTTGTTTCTCTGAACTTCTAGCTCAGCTAAAAAAAAAATTGAATCAAATTCCTTAACTTTGATCTACCCTGGATAAAAAAAGGATCTGACATCTGACCCAAAAAATCATGACAACACGTCATAACCCACATATGAGCCGAAATGAAAATGAAATAAAAAAAAAGTAAAAATTTAAATGACTCAATCAAAGATGAAATGACGTTTTCGGTGGAAAGGCATTCGAGATCACCTGGTGACCCACTGGTGATAGGTTCGCTCAACTTTCCATGGGAATTTCTTTTAAAACAACTAACGGAAGTTCCTTGAATCACGTCACTCCTTGTTTTTTTATTATAACTCGGAACGCGCGCTTGCGCTAATTGCAATGCGTCTTCTGTCACAGATTACTAATCTGTAAGATTATATTTTAAAAAATCACTCCTGAAATTTAATAGGCGCCCCTTACAATGTTTAAAAATTCTATCATTAAATCAATTTCCTATTTCCATTTCCAATATCCAATTTTCACGGGATATGAGTCGACTCATGTCGACTTATGACGCCAATCGACTCATATCGACTCATGACGTCAATCGACTTATATCGACTTGTATCGATTTATAATAATCGATATCGATTCGCATCGATTAGTATCGAGTCATAAATCGATGTCGATTGGTATCGATTCATATCAATCGATATCGATTCACATCAATTAGTATCGAGTCAAAAATCGATGCCGATTCGTATCGATTCATATCAATCGATATCGATTCATATTGAGTCATATCAATCGATATGGATTCATATCAATCCACATCGATTCATATCGACTCATGACGCCAATAGACTCATATCGATCCATATCGACTCATGTCGAATACCTAGACCTAGTCTCGTTTAATTTATTCTTTCACTCAAAAACGGGGAGAAAAAATCATTTCCACTGATTCCTGTCACGTGCCGAGAAAGTTCCCATGGAAGACTCTGGCAAAAAATTATTCTGTATTGGATATTAATATGAGAATTTCCCCGTTCGATTGATGATGATAATTGAAGACTGATTATCGATGCTACGATGATTATTCAGACTCTTCCCTCGATTTTAATCTATTAATAAAAACTGAGATTAGAAATTCTCAGTAGCTCGATATGACTTATGGGGTCTCATAATTTCTACATAAGTATACACATAAGACGTTGGATAAACAGGTTCCGTGTATTTCTGCAATTAACAGTAAATAAAGGACTGTCATAATTTGTCAGGTTTCTTCCTCGTGTCTAATACGTGTATTTATAGCTCGTGTTCTACTTCTTGAGGGAAGGTAAAGATTACTCGTGATTTATTTTGTCCATTCAATCCGCACTGTGTGATATCCACTGATTAAAAAATATTTAAAATTGCCCGAGGACACATTGATAAATAAATTTTTGTCCGTTTGTTTCAGAAAATTACTGTAGCATCCAAAGATTATTATGATAAATCAAAGATGGAGCCTGCGGACTGGTCTCTTTATTCTCTGCCTAGCAATAATTTCACACAACACTTTAGGTAAGACCAGTGATTCAACATCTTCGGCGTAAATTTCAGGCTTGAATATTCAACATTTTTTAAAATATTGTCTGCAGGAGCTGTTTTAAGAGACGCAAACGAGCGAGCAAAACGACAAGCTGAAATAGAAAGAACAAACTGGACTGAATTGGCGGATGAATGGCTGAAGGCGAAAGGAAGGATCGAGGAAAAATTGGTCACTGTGGTACCAGATCATGGAGAAATCCGGGATCTTCCAACCCCTGAGACCGTTGTTGATGGAATGAGCACCGAAGACATGCGCAGGGTAACGAGATTTTTATATAATCAAATATCAAATTTCTTTATTGTCTTAATTGAAATCTCAATCGGATTATTTAAATCTTATCCTTTCAATTGGCAGACGAACTATTCGAGAATGCTCTGGGACATGGAGAGTGCTCAGCAGGGGGGCCACCTTTCCCTCTTCGTCGACAAAGCAATGAGACTTCTCGATCTTCGTCAGGTGATGATCGAAGTTGAGACTTCAGTCATGTCGAAAGTGTCGTGTTCAGCTTGTAAAGTTGGCGCTGGATTCCTCCAGCATTACATTAAATCTGGAAAAACCGACAAGGAAATCATGAGCAGTATTTATCAATTCTGCGTCTCCCTCAAGATCCAGAGCCCCAGGGTGTGCGAGGGTGTGACACTCCTCTTCGGGGTAAGTGAACCATCAAAATATTCCATGAAATCCCAGAAAAATTCTCTTTAATCTACATAAAAAAATAATTTTTTTAGGATAAAAAAATTTTTGATAAAAATTTTTTATCAAAAATAAATTTTCAAGAATCAATTAGGGTGCGACGTTCTCCCAGGGTGGGATAATTTAATAATTCTAAAATATTAAAAATGATTATATCAAAGATTAATGGGGGTCAAGGTGAAACTAATGACTTTCCCCACGTGGAGGAGAGCCATTCGTTTGATCCGGAAATAATCTTTGAGAATAAAAAAAAAAACTGCTAAAAGTCAATTGAAATAAATGAGAGGATGAAGTGGCAAACGAGACAGTCGTAAAAATGAGTGCATCGAGACTTTCTACTTGTAAATCGTATCCAAGGTGATTTCACCAATCACGTGGGGTGGCAAAACGAGGTGCTCGCCCGTTAAAGCCCGGTTAGAGGGATTTTTTTTTTTGCGAGTGACGATTTTATGCCTTCCCACTTTGCGGTGGAAAAAGAAATCTCAGTTATGCTGTCATTCACGTCGGGAAAATTAAGGCCCGGTAGAGGGATTTTTGCCCGACATGTCCTTAGGAAATTCCCTAGAAAAAATGCGTTTTACGGGGACATAAATGCCGTGGTGGCACCAGCCCCTGTAGACCCTCAAAAAATATCATTCTAGGGTCAATAGCTAGATAATTATTTTTACCGGGCCGGTAATTAGGTCTCAGGGGTGGGAAATTGCGCTAGGACTCATAGGAAACGAGATAATCGCATTTTCATAAATTGAAAAAAATTTGCTCATATACCCTTCCCTATATATTGGATCGATCGGATCGATAGGCTATTTGAGCGAATTTTTTTCAATTTATAAAAATGCGATTATCTCGCTTCCTATGCTTGTTCTACAAGAATTTTCAAAAAAAAAATTTTCAAAAAATTTTCAAAAACATTTTCAAAAAATTTTCAAAAACATTTTCAAAAAAAATTAAAAAAAAATATTTTTGAAAAATCTTTCAAAAAAATTTTCAAAAAAATTTTCGGAAAAATTTCAAAAATAATTCCGAAACTTTTTTTAAATTTCAGGGTGAAGTTATTTATGTTCTGAAGCAAGTGAATATGGGGGCCAGTCAAATCTGCAGTTTTGTCATCGGTGATGCATGCGATGATGCGTACAATCCCCAGCACGAGTGGGAAATAGCATTTCCACCGGTTAAAAAGCCCCCCGTGGTGGCACCAGTACCTCCGAAGGAGGGCACAAGAACTTTCAAAGTTCTTCACATATCGGACACACATTACGATCCTTATTACCAAGAGGGGAGCAATGCCGCGTGTAATGAGCCACTCTGCTGTAGATTGACCAATGGCCCTCCTAGTACCCCATCCAATGGTGCGGGAAAATGGGGTGACTACAGGAAATGCGACACCCCCAAGAGAACTGTCGATCACATGCTCAAGCATATTCAGGATACACATCCGGATATTGATTATATCCTGTGGACAGGTGATTTGCCTCCCCATGACGTGTGGAATCAAACGCGGGAGGAGAACCTGAAGATTCTGAACGACACAGTGAACCAGATGATAGAGACGTTCCCGAGGGTACCAATTTTTCCCGCCCTGGGGAATCACGAGTCGGCACCTGTCAATAGCTTTCCACCACCATTCGTACCAGAGGAGAACAGCATATCCTGGTTGTACGATGAATTGGACGAACAGTGGAGGCGTTGGTTGCCAGCTGGTGTCTCTCATACTGTGAGACGAGGCGCTTTTTACTCCGTCCTGGTGAGACCCGGCTTCAGAATTCTCTCTGTCAATACCAATTACTGCAACAACAAAAATTGGTGGCTGCTCATCAACAGCACAGATCCAGTCAATGAGCTGCAGTGGCTTGTTTACGAACTCCAGGGAGCGGAGATGAATGGCGAGAAGGTTCACATAATTGGACACATTCCACCTGGACACTCGGATTGTCTCAAGGTATGGTCGAGGAATTACTACAGCATCATCAACAGATACGAGTCAACGATTACAGCTCAATTTTTCGGTCACACTCATTACGACGAATTCGAATTATTTTACGATACGTCAGATCTCGGTCGTGCTGTCAGCATTGCCTACATTGGGCCCTCGGTATCACCTTACTACGATCTCAATCCAGGGTACAGAATATACTACGTCGATGGGGATGATAAAGCCACGACGAGGATGGTCGTCGATCATGAATCATGGGTTATGAATCTCAAAGAAGCTAATCTCTACAATATTCCCATTTGGCATAAATTGTACAGTGCACGACAGGCGTATCAGATGCCATCACTTCTGCCGAGGGATTGGGACTCTTTGATTGATAAGATGACCAATGAAGCCTCCAATTTCGATCTTTATTACAAACACTATTATAAAAATTCACCAGTTCGACCGCCTTGTAATGACGAATGTCGAAAGCGTCTGCTGTGTGATCTTCGGAGTGGTCGGAGTCATGACAGAAAAGCTCTCTGTCAAAGTCTCGAGTCTCGAATCGACGGTGAGACGAGAACCGGATGGAGAGAATGGATTTACAACGGTTTAGCATTATCGTACGTACAAAATTGGTGGATGAAAATTCATTATAACGGCGATACGGATACCAATAATGTCGCCTATCAGTCTCATAATACGTAGAGCATGAAATCTAACTGGAAGAATTTAATGGAAGAATTTAAAAACTCACTCTCCAGGAAATATCAGTGAATATTTTTTCAAGTTTTTGGAAAAAACATGGAGTTCTTCTATTTAATTTTTTCGTACGTCTAATAACGACTCTAGTATGTAACCAATGGCGAATGGAATTGCTCAACTTTATTATTAATCTATTAATCCTCTCTCTGTCTTAAAAATTAATTTAATATTTCTTGTGTTATTTAATAACAAATAGACTGAACGCATGGCGAGTGATAAGACGAACCAAATATTTGAGACGAGTGCCACTCTGTAAATAATTTTGCAATCGCTGCACCGAATTAATTATAAAGTAGTAAATTGCACAATTATTTATTGAAGTATTCCCAAAATGCTTTTACTTTGATTTTATTGAATTATTGTTTCAGGAAATTCTTTTCTAGAAAATCTGGTGGCTCAGACAATAATTAGAATAATTGTAACACTTCTGCAGTCAGTCTCACCAGCTTTATTCGTTTATTTATTGTTAACTTAGTGGTTAATGTTTTTATGGCGGGCATTAGATGTAAGTCGAAGGTAATGTACAAATTTGGGGATTTGTTGAATAAAAAGTGGCGGGGGATGTTTTAAATTGCTGTATATATCAACGCTTCGACTTCCTTCCAGAGATGTGGGCTACATAATTTTTATTCTTGAGTTATTGTACATATTTTCTTCTCCAGTGAACTCCTGGTTTGCAAATCATATTTTTTTGTACAGTCTTAACTGGTGGTGGAAACAACAATGGTGATAGGTACCCACAGCACCTTGTAAGTAAATCCAATAAATATATATGATAATTAATTAATTGAATATTGAATTCACCGAGTCCCCTGGATTAACGGAGCAAGGAGTTTTTTATTTTTTTCGATTTTTTTTTCAATGCTCGATTCTGCTCAATGATTTTTTTTCTAAGAATTAAAGTGCTGGAAAAAAATTGGATATCTCCTCTATTCTTCTGTGCTCCTGATACAAATCGGAGAAAAATTCCCGCAACTTGGAGCTCATTCCGCTAAAATTTGAACTAAAAATTCGGGATTTGTATCAGGAGCACAGAAAGCGCGAAGAGGTATTCGATGCTACGTGACGAAGTGGCAAATAACTCCTCTATTCTTCTATGCTCCTGATCCAAATCGGAGAAAAATTCCCGCAACTTGGAGCTCATTCCGCTAAAATTTGAACCAAAAATTCGGGATTTGTATCAGGAGCACAGAAAGCGCAAAGAGGTAGTCGATGCTACGTGACGAAGTGGCAAATAACTCCTCTATCCTTCTATGCTCCTGATCCAAATCGGAGGAAAATTCCCGCAACTTGGAGCTCATTCCGCTAAAATTTGAACCAAAAATTCGAGATTTGTATCAGGAGCACAGGAGGTGGCAAGAGGTAGCCCCTATTCATTGAGGAATGAAGGGTTTGTTTCCTATTCTACTCTCAGAAAAGTGGAGCTCATCTCAGTTGCATACCAGGATCGCAGAAGACTTGAGGAGTAATCCGATGCTCGCCGACATTTTCTCCATCGCCTTTCTAAGCCTCCAAATGCCTGAAAACATGGAATAACTCTTCAATTCTTCTGTGCTCCTGCTCCAAATGATAGAGAATTGAACCTGATTCCATCCAAATTTGAATAAAATTCGAGTATTATAACAGGATTGCAGAAGAATTGAAGAGTTATTCGTTTTTTTTAACCCTTTTCCTTGATGCATTTTTGAAGTTCAGCTGAAAATATCCTGCCACTTGGAGTTGGGGAATAGGATCACAGGAAGGCGGAAGGAGCCGGTTTTTCAAATTTTTTTTGTCATTATGCCAAATTGTGTATGCATTAATTTCAGTAATAAGTTTTATTAATTATATTTTCTCTCATCCATTAGGATGTCTGTGGTCATGGCAATTCCTCGATTTGCCTACAATCTACCCAAGTACGTCCTCGGATTGGGCTAGAGCACTAGACCATCACTGCCAATTGAGGAGAAAACTTTTTGTGATTTCATTAATTAAAAAATCGCAGTATGTTGCAATTATTTTTCATTCCAATCTATCGACCGTTGACACGAATTTGTGATCTCCTTTTAGACGAAAATCAACGATCATCGATAGATAACATTAATTTGACGAATAGTTGTTAAAAAATTGTGACGAAATTAATTCACTTTTTTACTCGTGGTTTTCGTAATTCCCATGTAAAACAAATCTTCAAAAGACAATTGAAGTATGACACGATTACGGTATTATTACAATAATTTTAACAAATTGTCGTCAATTTTTTAATTAACGTCAGAAATATATAATTACAATCGAGATCTGATGAAATTGACGACGAGAAATACTTCAACTGGTGCAATATTCGATAATCGAAATCGAAGAAACTCATGAAAATAATCTAGTATACATTTATTGGATCCTCCAATCAATTGATTAATCGAAATTTCGTTTCATCGGTTTCTTCGAGTTGCCCAAAGAAGAACCACCAGCGATCTGTAAATAATAATGTAGATGTTAATTATTTATGCTGAGAAACATTTTTTCGTACGACAGATTTTGTTAACAATATACAAACCTTTTTTACGCAACGAAATCACGTCCATAGTTTTATTTCACAAAAAAAAATCTCCTTTACTTCTTCACTCGCCACAGACTGCCTCAAGCCATAAAAAATCTCCAGATCATTCTCCCAAAAAATGCGACGAGCACCAAAAACACTGGAACAATTCTCCAGACCTCAGGCATCATCTGCCTGGCCCCCAGCCACCGTTTTCCCGCCTCCAGCACTTCTCCAGTTTTCACTTCCTCTTCCTCCTCTTCCTCCACTTCCTCCAACAGTTGACCCTTCATAGAAAACTTCATAGCCTCGACGATCCTGACTCGAACCATTCTCCCCATTATTTCCTCCCTCATCTCCACGAGCACCTGCTCATACCACTGGTTGTGCCCGACGTAAAATTTTTTATCATGCGACACCTCAGTGATGAGCACACTCTGGACATCTCCCACTCTCCTTCCATATGGCTCATACGACTGGAAAAATTCAGAGAGTTTTTTCGTCCTCGTCTTCACCAGTTGCGTGGGTACCTTCTCCATTTTTGCAGCCGGAGTTCCAGGACGTGGAAAAAACTGATTAATGAAAAGACTGGGAAATTTGTATTTTCTACAGAGACTCATTGTCTCCTCAAAGTCCTCGTCCCTTTCAGTGGGAAATCCACAGATGATGTCAGTGGCAATCGTCACTCCAGGCACCTTCTCCTGGAGCACGTCAACGACCCTCTCAAAATCCTCCCTGGAGTACTCCCTCTTCATGTCACTGAGTACCTGATCACTTCCAGATTGCACTGGCACGTGGAGAAATTTGTAGACCCTGGGGTGTTGAAGGATTCGACTAATTTCCTCGAGGTGCTCCAGAATGTAGGGAGGATTGGTCATTCCCACGCGCATCATGCAGCCCTTGGGGATGACTCTGACGATTTTCCAGAGGAGCTCGGGAAGATTTGTACCGATGTCTCGACCGTATGCTCCAGTGTCCTCCGACGTGAGCCACAGCTCGACCACTCCCTCCTCAAATGCCTGGACTGCTCGCTGGACAATTTCCTCCGGAGGATAACTACCTAGCTCTCCTCTGGCGTGTTTTGTCTTGCAGTAGGTGCACTGGTTCAGGCAACCTGTGTTTATCGCAATTATCTCGATCAGGGGATTTCTCCGTACCTTCGGTAGCGACAGCGCAGCTCCACCCATTTTTTTACCCGAGCTCTTCTTCTGGGAAAGAAAACGCACTGTATTGCCTTTGAGGGTTTCCTCCACCACTTCTACCACCCGATCGATTTGCTGAACTCCGATTACACTGAGATTAGAGAGAAATGATGTCTTTGGAGCTCCCTGGGGGACACATCTGAAAACAATAAGAAGAATTTGTGAATTTCGGATTTTACTGAGGGTCTTGTCTGCTCACTTTCCAAATTTTTTTTATGAAAAAAAAAATATATAAAATTGAGATTTTGTTTGACTTACCCGGCAACGACCACATGCTTCCCCATCTTTCTTCCAGCCTCGATTTCATTCCTAAAATGATCCTCAGCAGGTGCTTTCACAGTGCACGAATTCAACAACCAGAGATCGGCCTCCAATTTATCCTGAGTGAGGTTATAGCCATAAAAAGCGAGCTGACCTGCCATGTACTCCGAATCGGAGCTGTTGTGAGTGCATCCCCATGTTTTCACGTAGATCGTCTGAGTCCCTGGGATAACACTCGATAAAATTTCAGGTTTCCTCGTCTCCTCGAGTAATCCATTTTTATGTTTCACTTTCGAACGAATTGTCACGTTTTTACGAGTACTGTAACGCTCCTTTGGGGTTATGTCCTGGGAGGATATGAGATCCTCGATGTCTTCGATAATCTCCACACACGAGGACATTTTTTTAATTGAATACCGGTGGATCGTGATCACTGGTGGTTACTTGTTGCTTAATTTTTGGGACTGAACTTGTCTGTTGGCAGCCGACATGGCAGAAAATGAAAAAGACCAGACGTAAACACAACCACGCGTACTTGTGCGGTATGTGCTGCCACGAGTGGACAATTTCAGAACCTCTTTTGCCGTTTATTCAACATTTGAATTTCAAATTTATTGGCGGGAACTGGAATTAATTAATTTAATTAATTAATTTCAGTGGTGAAATACAAAATTTAAATCTCGACGTTCGTAGGAATTTGATTTTGATAATGAGTGATCCGAAGAGAGTATTGGAAATTGTTTAGATTTTATGAAGGAAAAAAGGGGATGGAAATCGAGTAGAGGATTGCTGCAGGTTTTTAAATAAAGTTTCAGCCAAATGGTTGAATAAAAAATTTCTATTTCTTAGAGTTGAAGTTAGAACGCCCTTAGTAAATGCGATCCTCAACTCATTTACCATCTCCTCCTTCTCCACGAATAATTAAGAACAATTGAACTTAAATATCTTAAATAATAAAAAAAACACACACACACGAATATGACAATTCTCTTCTTAAATTATTGCATCAACAATCTACATGCCTTGTATTTGGTATCACCTTGTGTCTTTTAATTTAACTAATTAATACTAATTTTCATATTTATATCTTTACATAAGTTTTTACGGGAATTGTTACAACTGTGGACACCTGAGTATTTCATTTATTTTCTTAATAATCAAGTGACGTTTCTCTCTGAATGATTATTTTTTTTTTCATTTATTTAAACTGTCGCGAATTAAAATCTAACAGATCTGAATTATTTTAGAGAGCAATCGACAGTTGCTTAAATGGATTTTTTTTTCCAATGGACACCTTTTTGTCTTTATTCGAAGGATGATGCGCAGAGAGCACTGGATTGTTTATTTAATTATATATTCATCAATTTTAATTGATGGCATCATTTAATTTCCTTCGTTGCCTTTTTATTGAGCAATTTTGTTCCCTCGTTTTTATCTTTAATTAATACTAATTGAATGAACAATAGTTTTCTCTCTTGAAACCATTGGCTGGCACCTCGAGGTCTTCTCACGATTAAAATTTACAATGTAATATATATTTCACTCCTCCATAATAATTATTCTCAATTTAAATATCTAATGGGGATTTTAAATACTTATAAAAGACTCCCAGAGGCACTTGAATGGTCTTTACAAATACAAAAATATATGATTTTTAAATATTCACAAAGAACATTACAACCAGAACGACAATTCGAAAATTTATGGACCTAGACATTTTTCCAAATAATTAATAGACAATTGGAATATTACGCAATCCTCGTGGGCAAGGGAACATGGAAAATCAATAGCGAATTTCTGTAACGTGAAATAAATCGAACTTTAAAAATATCTCAAAATTCGATTTGATGAAAAAATTATTTATTTCAAATGAAAATATCAACAGATATTTATGCAGAAAATTTAATTAACCGCAATAAGTAATTTGATATTTCCATGTTGAATAGATAAATAATTTTTTTCCACCATTGCATCTGTCTCGAATATTTCGTCAGTTGAAATAGTTTTTGTTATTACCAAAATTATTCTAAAAAATAAATTAAACAACTCACAAATCCAAAAATATTTCACGCTTCCTCCAGTGAAATGAATAATTATAATAATAATTGACTTCCATGTTCCAATCATTACATGATTTCGACACTCACCGAAAGAACAACAAATCAAATCACTCAATAAATTAATTATGCAAAACATTGAGTACCTCAACTCCTAAATCTCCTGGATCCAAAGAGAGAATAAAAAATACTAGTAGTCATAGTGATTTGGTTTTGAGATTCTTAGACCTACTTTCACGACACATTCATTATAAAAATACATTATCCTTCCATTAAGTAGTTGAGCGACGTACATAAACAAAAATTCCTTCGACTAAAACCAAATCGTTCAATTCAATTTTCTCCATCAATTTTCATTCCTCGCACTCTCCTCACACATTGATTCCACATTACTCATCTCATACTCTCCATTAGAAAAATATTGAAAAAAAAAATGTTCAAAACTCAAAATATAAAAAAACCAATGGAATGCAGACAAATATTTTCGTACACTACCAACAATTTTGAAAGTTCAATTAATTTTTCTCGCCAAACCATTGAAATTCGATAAAATACCCAAAACTCCAATCCAGAAATACCCGAGAGTAAAAAAATATAGAGGCAATCGAAATTATTTATTTATTTATTTTTTCTATTATCGGGAATTATTCAATTTCTATAATTTCGAAATACCCTTTATTAATTTGACTCTGCTATTCTATTTGTTTAATATTCCCTGGCTTTTGTCTGGACCACAGAATGAAGATAAAAAAACCATAAACTGTTGAGAACTGAGCATAAAAATTCAGAGGAATGAAAACGCCATTATTCGAGGGCAAGCCCTTCGACGTTCCCCTTTCCTTCTTTTTTCTCTCAACCTGGCCCATTGTTTTGTGCGAAAGGTACACGAGAGAAGGGATCCGCCCCACAAGTGAATACCGAGGGCGAACCGCGGTCCCAGGGTATAAAAAATAATAATAATATGCGAAAAAATAAACGTACGAGACCCCGAATCTCCGAGGGAGTTCCTTATCTTCCCCTTTTTTTTTGTCTCAAACACGAGCTAAAGGGTTCGCTCTCTTTCCCAATAATTCTTACTTCAACTACGAGAGCAGTTGTACAATCAATAGATTAAAACATCGAGATAATTCTCAACGGATGAGACGGAAAAACAAAAACGGAGAAAAAAACGTGGAAAAGTTTTATCATTCCGGAATGATTTTTCCATGAGGCTGATGTTGTTGAAGCTAGAAGAATTATCAGGAAGTTGTAGTATGGCAGTACATGGAATGGCACGAAAATGGGGATAAGGTATCAAGAATTGGCAATTCAATGCTGGAGTAGTCAATTCTCATCGATCTTGAATTTATCTCGGCGATTTGACATCAATTTCGGAATTTAAAATCCGTGGCTAAAGTTTACTCGATTTTTTTCGAAATATCTCCGCACGTAACAGAAAAAATGAAAATTTTGTTAAAACCTTTTCTGTAGACCTAATCGCGACCTGCAAAAACGTCCCAATGAAAATTTCCCCATCTTTTTTACTTTTCGAGATAATTGACAATTTTAGCGGAAAAATAGACAATCGAGGAGACACCGAAAATCCAACCCCTCACCACGACTCAAAATTAATCTTAATCCTAATTCTAAAAACAATTCTAAACACTGGGATTGTTCATCCTATGGCAATCGCGAGAGATTGAGACCAAATAAATCCTATCTAAACCTTAAAAAATACTAAACTCTGACTCCCAATAATACTAGACACAGGGACTAGGTATCTGTGACAAATTCCCTAAAAAATCTCCAGAGGACGAACCCCATGAGGAATACTTTTTCTCAATAAATATTCCAATAGATATTAATTATCACCACACTTAGCTGGAAATTTAATCCCCGGATTTTTCATCCTCACGAAGACGTTTGAAATTGGCAACGCAAAGAGAGCTTGGTATGTTCCACAAGTCCAGGGTGAAACTCGTTTTATTCGGAGGGATCCCAGTAATTGCAGGCTGCCGAAATGATGCAGTGGTGGAGGGAGTTGTCGAAAAAAACTCGTCTGGCCAGACGTTCCTCAGATGGTTCCTTGTGATGCACCGAGAATTTTTTTGCTATTTGAAACGAGGACATTGGCCTTGGAAATAAAAATTCACCAGCCAGCGCTGAACCAACTGGATACATCCAAAAAGACTCGATGATCACAAGCCAATATTTTCCAACTGAGCTTCAACTCCAGTAGAAAGAGCTCCAGTAGAAAGAGCTCCAGTAGAAAGAGCTCCAGAGAGAGCTATCACGTGTGACTCTGGATAATAAAGATGATCCTCGTATTTCATAAACGCCGGAGGTTTCTCTTGCTCTGCTTGGAGCCCACGATTAGAGGTGGTGTTTTACGCTTTGTTGGTGTTGCCAGAAGGGGAGTTTTACAAGAGCCAGTGTGTGGTGTTGATAAACAGTACGTACAAAATTCGGTTCTGCAGCCCTTGCGGGTGCACGTTCCCACGTTCTTCTCGTTGTCGACGTGACAGGCGAAGGTACATTTAGGACAGGAGAACAGACGCTCCGTCGGGGCGAGACTTTTGCTGGCCTGAAACACAGAAATTTTATCCTCAATTATTGAATTAAATTGAACATCGACTTTCTCAGAACTTGAAATTTTTCATAACGACAAAGTGACGGAAAATTTAAAATTATATTATGAATTAATTTGTTATATATAATTGTGTTATTAAATAATTATATAATTATATAACTAGGTGGTTAGGCGTTCACTCATTTATTTAGTGCCGAGGGGTTCATAACGATAAGTGATAGAGTCCCTCGGCAATTCTTGAACCTTTAAAGCCACCGAGATCAACAAAACCATTCAATATATCACGTAAGCAAACGTAAATATTACCACTAAGGATCATAAACAATTCCTCCCCTCCTTTCCGTCGTCGGTATATTTTTATGAAGATATTCCAAGTCGATTGTGTAAGATAGTCAAAATAAATTTTCATTGAACCCATAAATCGTGCTCGAGTAAATGAAATTTGAATTATTTATTTTCGTTTTTAAAACGAGTGATTTTTTTAATTGGGAAGAGAATTATTTTCCACTGGGAATCAAAATCAAAGAATAATTCATGGAAATATTGTCTGGAGGATTAAGACAGGGAGAAATGCAGTCTCTCATAATTGGAATGAACAGATGTTCGTGAAATAGCATCATCACTCTCAAAGTGCAGAATTTATAGCCTCATTAACCAACCAACACAAGTCTAGAATCCTCTCAATTAAATACTCAAGTCTCTGAGTGACGAGTCAAAACTCCGGGACATTTTTTGGGCTGTGGTTCCGGCTTTTCCGGCGTAATTAATTTGAGGTTGTTGATAATTAGACAAACCGCATCGGAGTCCAATTTCGCTTCCACATTTATTTTCTCATGACCATTTAGAAAGGCAAGATGGAGGCATTCAGGTGGCAGAATAGATTCTGGATAAATGGTGAATGGCCGGTGGATTTGAAAGGAACAAATGGACCGTGGACTCATCGAATTAATGAACCTCCAGAGAAAAAAAAACAAATCTACGAAATTCGATACTGTTCTGGGATTCAATACAGATATTGGATTGCGCTCATACTGTGATTTGATGTGATAGCTTTAAACCCGGTGAAGTAGTTATCGATAGAAAAAATCTAGAGAGACTAGATTCAATATAAATATGAATAATTCATCCCAAATGAGAGGGAATTGAATTATTCTTTCGAGAAATCAAAATTTTTAAAATAATTTTTGATTCTAAAAATCACTGAGATCAATACGATTGCATATAAACAATAAAATAATGCCGAATAAATGGAATATAGAATAATTATAAACAAATATTATTAGACAGTGTAATGGCGATGGTTTCCCTCCCTGAAAATCGTTATAAAAATGTCTTCCCACGACCTGACGTGCCAACAAGATCCCGAACCCCAAGGAATCCCCAAAAAATCTCTCTCCGAAATGAAAAAAAAAACAAAAACCCTCGAGAATGATGCAGCACTTGCAGCACATGCAGCACACGCCGACCAGCTGCTTCTCAAAACAACTTTCAGCCCTCCGCCCTCCGGTGCGTAATAACTTCCTCTGAGTCCGTGGCAATAATATTCTGCCATTACTCCTCTCAATGACCACCGCAAACCCACAAAACAATAAAAAAGTAACAAATAAAAAAATTAAAAAAAAAAACAAAATGTAGAGATTGCGGGAACCAGTGGTCGCGATAATTTTCCTGGATCGCGCCTCTCGCTGGTATACCCGCGGGTACGCGAAATTAAATGGAGAATTGCGCGGTTAACGAGAGGTAACAATAGTGTAATAATACTTGAATCATCAACTGACGGTAGTGACCGGGTGGTTAGATGAAAATTTATAGCGCTCTAATGATTAGAGCCTAATCTCACATTTTCTCGGGTTGGGGGTGGTGAGGGAACAAATCGTAAAGACCTGTCATGGTATAGAGTGAAAATCTTTTACTCGAATGATCGGTACGAATTTTACGATGCATTTAACTCGATGATTTTATTTAACACGGGAATTAGTGGTATAATCAGCGTTAAGCGTAAACGCGTGGTCAAAACGAGTTTGTGTCGTCGAGGCAGTGGAGCATCTTAAGAAGTTTCGAAGGGAGAAACACCAGAGGATTAACAGAACTGAATTAACACGAGAAGATAATTAATGGGTACATGCTGGAAAATTAAACTTGATATTTTAAGTGGAGAAAATAGAAAACTTTCAACAGCGAGAAAAAATTTAGTTCTGTAAAAGTTCAAGGGATAATTTCCCTGTGTTATCATCGAGGAATTGGAATTCTGATTAATTAGTCCGGATCAAGTTAAATGAAGAATGGAGATTAGAAAAAATGATTGAGTGAGGGAGTGAAGGAGTTGTCGGTGAAAACAGTAAGCAGCTTCTAGATTTTTGGTCAACCGATTGTCTTGAATCGGAAGCGACAGGGCCCATGTAAACCGATATTTCAGTGATTTTTTGAATTCTCCTTGGTCTCGAGAATTTAAGTCGGGATCAGTGAAAAGAATTCCATGAAAAGGTGGAGAAACCGCGTGTCCAGGTAAAGGTACACAATGTCAAGCCTAGAAGTGGAAAGAAGTTGAAAATGGGATTCTGAGAATGAGAAGCTGTGAAGCCAGTGGAAATACTTTTTCCATTAATATTCATTCGAGAATTATGAAGCAAGGGGAATTTATGAGCTGGAGGAAAGGGCATGACGTCGGTTATGAGAGGCATAGAGGCATTTCAACATTTGGTCGTTAAAAATTGTGAAGTGGGAAGTGGCATGAGGGCTTTGAGATCACTCAGAGGAATGAAGCGGGATCTTTGTTTGGAGGAATTGGAATTAAATTTTTTTTTTTCTTCCTCCAATGGGATCGTTCATTTGGTGGAAAATTACTGGTTTTAATTTCTCGAGGGGTCACTCCTACATCTAGGAATGAAACTGTTTATTGAAGCGGACGTGAAGTTGGATAACATTGAGGCCATGTGGCTGGAGTTGAAAGGGCCACTTTAAAAAATTCAAAACTTCATGGAAATTATGACAATAATTATCACGATAAATTCAACAAAATTTCGCAAATAAATTCTCATCCCAAATTTTTACTCAACTATTTTCTCAATGTATCCAAAATTTTTGGAATAAAAATGAAGTGTAACGTTATCGCGCTCTGGAAATTGTTAGGATTTTTTTTAGGGCTCGGGAGGCTGCGGATATCTCTGTGGGGGAGTTGGACGATAAGATAATTTTTT